ATTACAAATCCATTTAATTCCTTATGATATTGTAGTTTTTTAGAGCATGATAGTGAAGTCATGGAGTAATCATATCACATTTGATTAATGACAGTTTTAAATGTGGCTCTGAAATCTCATGTGTATCAATAGATTAGAGTAGTAAGGTGGACATTATACTGGATTTTCAGATTATCAGTAAGTACCGGGTGGTCACACTTGTAAAATATTGCAGAAGCAGACTTAATGTTGAATATTTTTACCTGGTTTTTGCCCCCCTCTCCCCACTCCCTCCTCCCTCCCCCCTCACTCCCTCCCCCCTTGATCCGTCTCCCCCTCCCCCTCTCCCTCTCCCCTCACTCCCTCTCTCCCCTCACTCCCTCTCTCCCCTCACTCCCTCTCTCCCCTCCCTCTCCTCCTCTCCCCCTCTCTCCCCCTTCCCCTTCTCTCCCTCCCTTTCCCCTCCCCCTTCCTCCTCCCCCTTCCTCCTCCCCCTCTCCCCCTCCACCTCCCTCTCTATTTTTCCTCTCCCACTCTCTCTCCCTCTCCCTCCTCCCTCTCCCTCTTTTTAAGAATTATTTATTTTACTTGAAAGGTAGAGTTACAGAGAGGGAGAAGCAGAGGCAGAGAGAGATCTTCCATCCACTTGCTCACTCCCCAAATGGCCACCATGGCTGGAGATGGGCTAGTCTGAAGCCAGGAGCCAGGAACAACTTCTCAGTCTCCCACATGGGTGCAGAGGCCTAAGGGCTTAGACCATCTTCCATTGCTTTCCCAGGCACATTAGCCAGGAGCTGAATCAGAAATAGAGCAGCTGGTACTCCAACTGGTGCCTATCTGAGATGCTGGCACTGTAGGCAGTAGCTTAATCCACTACGCCACAGCACTGACCCATTGTCTGGTTCTCTTAAGATCTCAGGGTCATCAGTGATGGAACAAGATTTTGAGTTTCTGGCCATATAGTTCCTTGTGTTATAGCCATCAAATTTATACATTGAAGTATTTATAGCAACAGTTTTTGAATCCTATTTCATATCTCCTCATGGAAATTTTCAGATGCAAACAAAAGTAGAATAGAAAATTAAACTCCCATGTTTTCATCAAAGATGTCTTCTAGAATTGTCAGCTTGTGGCTAGTCTTGTGGAATGGAGGATTACGTTTTATCTTTGTGCCTCACCCTAACCTGTTTTTGTTGTTGAAGAAGAGGAAATTGGATTGTTTTTCTTTTCCAGGGTCCCAGAGTCAGGATTTACATCTTTTTTTATATTTATTGTTTCCCTTTGTCACCTGTGTTTCTTACAAATTGGTGATTAAATCCAGAGGCTTGGTCATATTCAGCATTTTCCCCCCATTCCCAGCAGAACACATTTTATACGTGTGTGTGTGTGTGTGTGTGTGTGTGTATGTATGTGACTAATACTCTTGATTTACAAAGTGGGAAGCATGTAAATACTTGGCTTAATTTTTTTTAAAGTATCATGTGAAACTGAATCAGGACACAGGCAAAAAGAATATTTGTATCAGGGCCACCAGATGTCTCCCACCTACTTTTTAGTTGTCTGTTTCATCCACCAACAATCATTGCCTCCTCCACAACTCTGCTGCTTTTTATTGACCCCAGAATGTTTACTCCCAAAATCTGTTGATTGCTCTTTACTTTCAGGGAAAGTTAATAAATAAGCAGAAATTATGAATAGTTTTATAATCTATGCTTCTGAAAGCTTACATGCGGCATTTCAGTATTTATTTTATGGTTTTTATTACACTTACTGAAATTGTTTTTTAAATCTGCTAACCTTATATTTGAGGAGCTTGTGTTTAGAAATTTATATTACTTGTTACATCTCAGTCTGTGGCTTTAACCCGCTACACCACAACACCAGCCCCTTCCCTTCCCTTTTAGGTGACAAAATTTAAAGATTTGTGTTTAAAAATTGTATTATTGAGTTTTCTAATATTGTAATATTTCTCTTAAAAGCACTTTTTTTTTCTGAGAAAAGGGGAAATCACTGTTTTTGTATACTTTTTTCCTTCATGGTTCTCTGAAATAGATTTTTATATTCTGGACAGAGTTGTTCAGAACACAATAATTTCATCTTCTGCAGCCCTGGTGTCAGGTCATTGGTTTTGTGCCACCATCTAGAATGATCATTCTACAGAACAGCTTTTCAGCTAGTATTGTTCTGGAACATGAGGAAGCCTGACTAAAGAGAGTGGCTTTTCTGATGCCTTTATGTCACCCCTTTTTGGTAGCAACCTTTCAAGGACACCCAAAAAACAATCTACGGGAAAACAAAACTTTCAGCTTTAAAAATAAACGAGTAGGGGCTGGCGCTGTGGCACAGTGGGTTAAAGCCCCAGCCTGAAGTGCCAGCAATCCCCTATAGGCGATGGTTCTAGTCCCAGCTGCTCCTCTTCTAATCCAGCTCTCTGCTCTGTCCTGGGAAAGCAGTAGAAGATGGCCCAAGTCCTCGGGCCCCTGCACCCACGTGGGAGACCCGCAAGAAGCTCCTGGCTCCTGGCTTCAGATCTGTGCAGCTCTGGCTCTTGTGGCCATCTGGGTAGTGAACCAGTGGATGGAAGACCTCTCTTTCTGTAACTCTTTCAAATAAATAAAATAAATATTTAAAAAAATTAAGTAATGTATAAAACATATTTTTATACCATTCTTGGCTTGACCCATTATCTCACCCCTCTCCTTTAAAAGATTTATCTATCTATTTGAAAGAGAGAGGCCGGCACCACGGCTCAGTGGGCTAATCCTCCGCTTGCAGCGCCAGTACCCTGGGGTCAAGTTGCGCTTGGGGCACTGGGTTCTGTCCCAGTTGCCCCTCTTCCAGTCTAGCTTTCTGCTGTGGTCCGGGAGTGCAGTGGAGGATGCCCCAAGTGCTTGGGCCCTGCACGCGCATGGGAGACCAGGAGAAGCACCTGGCTCCTAGCTTCAGATCAGTGCAGTGCAGTGCAGTGCCGTAGTGGCCATTTTGGGGTTGAACCAACGGAAGGAAGACCTTTCTCTCTCTCTCACTCTCACTCTCTCTCACTGTCTAACCCTGCCTGTCCAAAAAAAAAAAAAAAAAAAAAAAGGTGAGAAAAAGGAAGAGATACAGAAAGAGATCTTCTACTTCCCCAAATGGCTGCAATGACCAGGGTTGGGCCACGCCTAAGCAGGAGCTTCATCTGGCTCCCCAACATGGGTTCAGGGGCCTAAACACTTGGGTCATCTTCCGCTGTTTTCTTGGGCACGTTATCAGGGAGCTGGATCAGAAGTGGAGCAGCTCGGAATTGAACCAGTGCTCCTGTGGGATGCCAGCATCACAGTTTGTGCCTTTAACCCACTATGCCAAAACACTAGCCCTTTCTCTCCCCTTTTAGATGATAGGTTAAGATACCACAGAACCGGTTTTTCTTGGAACAGTATTATAAGGGCTGGCCTTGAGGTGCAGCAGATTAAACTGCTACTCAGGACACTGACATACCATATCACAGTGCCAGTTCAAGTACTGGCTTCTTCGCTTCTGATCCAGCTTCCTGCTAATACACCTCTGACGGCAGTAGGTGATGACCCAATCGCTTGGGCCCTTGCCACCCATATGGGAGACCAGGATGGAGCTCCTCTTCCCTTTCTCTTTTCCTCTCCCTCTGTCGCTCTGCCTTTTGGATAAATACATCAATACACCTGTAGTTTAAAAATCATATAATAAAGAACAGGGCTGGGACCAGCATTGTAGCACAGCAGGTTAAGTCAGTGGCTTGCCTTATGGGCACTGGTTTGAGAACTGGCTGCTCTACTTCCAACACAGCTCATTGCTAATGCACCTGGGAGAGTAACAAGATGTCCCAAGTGCTTGGGCTCTTGACACCCACGTGGGAGACCCAGATGGAGATCCAGGCTCCTGGCTTTGGCCTGGCCTGGCCGTGCCCCAGCCTTGTGTCCATTTGGGAAGTAAAACCGCAGATGGAAGATCAATTGATCTCTCTCTCTGACTCTGACACTGCCTTTCAGATAAATATTGTTTATAAAAAGAACAAGGTTTTGGTATTACTAATCTGGCATTTTTAAAATGTATATCATATATATGTTTATATATGTATTTTTTAATATGTACAATATCCATATATCCTATTACATCTGATTAAATCCTTTTCATGAAGCTTTACATAAAGCTGATTATTACGTCTACTATTATCAAGTCTAGAATTTTCATCTTGATCTATTTTGAATGATGTATTTACTTACATATTAATTCAGTATATAGCTAAAAAAATCATATAAGGCACTATGCTAATTAAACTCCACAGAAGGTACATGGATGAATCAAAGCCAGAAAGATCATAATTGGGAAGGAAGACTGTGTAACACAAGTTTAACAGTTATTATAGGAAGAGGTAGCAGTTACCTAGAGACCTGTAAATGGTGGGGTAGCTGATGAGCAAATGATCACTATAGAAAGATTCAGAAAAACTTGAGGTGAGAAAACCACTTTAGTTGGGTCTGGAAGGACAAATAAGGATTTGATATTGCAGAGATCAGAGTAGGAAGGGGTTGCAAGGGAGAGGACCTGTATGAGAAAAGATATGGAAGCAAGAAAACATAAAACATTTGACAGAAGGTAAGACTGGCTGTTTGACAGAAGGATGAACTATTGGGGGATGGGTGAGGCAGGCCCATTAAGTGATGGATTTGGAAAGTTGGGTTAAATTCTTTGTTACAAAAAAGTTGGGCTTTAGGAGACCATGGACCTAATAAGGCTATGTGTTAGGGAGGTTAGTATGACAGTATTTGAGATGAGAAGACCAATGCTATGCCTGAAATCAGATGAAAGGTGCAAGTTGAAGAATTTTTGGGTTAGGATACTTAGGGTGGAAGTGGAAGACAGGCTGGCCCCCTTGGAGATGTTAACAGATTGAGAGAGGGTGGGCTCAGAGATGGCTCTCAATGTTGAGGGTACAGTTTAGACTCTGATGTTATTAAACAGAATCATACTATGAAAAAAAAATACTAGTTGTGTTTTCTTCTTAGTTCTAGAGCCAGTACAAAAGCCTCACGAAGGTCCTGGAGAAATGGGGAAACCAGTCGTTATTCCTAAAGAGGATCAAGAAAAGATGAAGGAGATGTTTAAAATCAATCAGTTCAATTTAATGGCAAGTGAGATGATTGCACTCAACAGATCTTTACCAGATGTTAGGCTAGAAGGGTAAGTACCTATTGTGACCCTGGTTATATCTGAAAACATGTTCTGAATTCCCAGTAAATTGTACCTTAGTGCTGATTGTTCTTAAAGTGAATGCTGTATTACTAAGTTACCACTTACCCCAGTTAAAACAATGCTGATACAATAATCAAGATAGTTCTGATCATTAGGACTATATATTTCAGGCATTGGTAAATAATTCTTTATCTTGATGGATTGGTTGGGGATTTTAAATTTCATTTCTACCAAACTATTCATATATTCAACCCTTTTATAAAAACAATCAAGCCATGTGTGTCTTGAAACAGTGAAGCACATAGTCCTAAGTGTATCTGCTTAATGAGTTTTTACATTTGTATACATCCCCGTGTACTATCTAAATCAAGACAGAACATTTCCATACAAAAGAGTTTTCTTATTTTCATTAGACAACCATTTCTTTGACCTCTCTAAACACCGATGGGTCTTATCCCTTGTGAATTTTTTATAAATGGATTCATTCAGTATATATACCCTTTCATGTCTTTGAGAGTTATGTTTTATGTATCAGAAGTTTATTTGTTTCCTTCGCAGTGTAGTGATAGGCTATGTGAATATTCCCATAGTTTATTTATACACTGATAGACATTTGGGTTGTTTCACATTCTGATTGTTATGAGTTAAAACTATTGTGACATTCTTGTGCATGTTTTTTGGAATACTTAAACTTTCATTTTTATTTGGTATGTATTGGGGAAGCAAATAGGTTATACATTTGTATTCATTTAGTGTGTGCTGCCAAACATTTTTCTAAAATGTACCAACTCGTGTTTCTGTCTGCAATATATAATAGGTTGAGTTGCTCCATGTGAAGAAGGTAATAAAAACTATCTATGCTAGTGGACAAATAGGCTGTTTTTTGTTTGTTTGTTTTGTTTTGTTTTTTACTTATTTGAAAGATTTACAGAGAGAGGTAGAGACAGAGAGAGAGGTCTTCCATCCTCTGGTTCACTCCCCAGATGGCCACAACGGCTGGAGCTGTGCCAATCTGAAGCCAGGAGCCGAGAGTTTCTTTTGGATCTTCCATGGGAGTGCAGGGGCCCAAGGACTTGGGCCATCTTCTACTGCTTTCCCAGGCCATAGCAGAGAGCTAGATAGGAAGAGGAGCCACTGGTGCACATATGAGATGCCCGTGCTTCAGGCCAGGGCTTTAACCTGCTGCGCCACAGTGCCGGCCCCAGCCCAGTTTTTAAAAGCCTGGATACTGTGATCTAACAAGTAGATTAAGTGCACATGTATATTCTGACTGCTGAGACCCCTTAGCCACCTTGCCTTATGTGGCTCCCATTAAGGCTGACAGCCAAGCTTTTCCTTTTCTAGGCAAGAAGTTGGAGGATCTTTATCAGCAGAATTGGACTAGTTCTAGAGAAGCAGCAGGAGCAAAAAGGACCACCCCTAAAGGGGGGAAAAACCCTACAGAACTTGACATTGGAGATTCTCCAAGTAGAAGGCACAGGCTGGTTCTCCTTATGCAGAAGCCCCATTCAATATTCAGGGTTCATATTCAACTTTATGATATCCTATTTTTTTTAAAGATTTATTTTATTTTATTTGAAAGGCAGAGTGAGTGACAGACAGAGGCAGAGACAGAGAGAATGAGATCTTCTATGTGTTGGTTCACTCCTCAAATGCTGCAATGGTCGGGGCTGGGCTAGCCTGAAGCCAGGAGCCAGGAACTCCATCCAGGTCTCCCATGTGATTACAAGGTTTCGAGCACTTGGATCATCTCCCACTCCTTTCCCAGACATACTAGCAGGGAGCTGGATTAGAAGATGGCCCAGGCCGGCGCCGCGGCTCACTAGGCTAATCCTCCACCTAGCGGCGCCGGCACACCGGGTTCTAGTCCCGGTCGGGGCACTGGATTCTGTCCCGGTTGCCCCTCTTCCAGGCCAGCCCTCTGCTGTGGTCAGGGAGTGCAGTGGAGGATGGCCCAGGTGCTTGGGCCCTGCACCCCATGGGAGACCAGGAAAAGCACCTGGCTCCTGGCTCCTGCCATCGGATCAGCGCGGTGCGCTGGCCGCAGCGTGCCGGCCGCGGCGGCCATTGGAGGGTGAACCAACGGCAAAGGAAGACCTTTCTCTCTGTCTCTCTCTCTCACTGTCCACTCTGCCTGTCAAAAAAAAAAAAAAAAAAAAAAAAAAAAAGAAGATGGCCCAAGCGGTGGGGCCCCTGCACATACATGGGAGACCTGGAAAAAGCTCTTGGCTCCTGGCTTCAGAGCAGCTCAGCTCTGGCTACCAGCGGATGAAGTGAACCAGTAGATGGACGACCTCTCTCGCTCTACCTCTCTATGTAACTCTGTCTTTCAAATAAATAAAATAAATTTTTAAAAAAGTGTGGGGCTAGTGATTAGTTACATTTGGGAAGGAAAAGTGATACAAGAGCGGGGGCACTTGTGGTGCTGATAGTATTCGGTTTCTTCATCTGAGAAGTGGTTGATTTCATGGGTGTTGCTGTGCTGAAACTCATTCAGCTCAAATTTGGGTTCTGTGCAGTCTGTATTTCTGTTGTACTTAATAAAATCAGCCTGAAAACAAGTAGGAGGTGAAGTAGTGGAGACTGCAGCATAGCTGTGCTACTGAGGCAAGGCTGCTGTGAAGAGGAGGAAATGTGTTGTCCTTTAAAGGTGGTATATAGTACGGTGTGTTTGCTCCAGTTGGGAGAAAATTTAAGAGGGGAGTATCATAGCAAGAGCCCAACACTTGAGTAGGTGAGAAGGGATGTGGTTGGCTATAGTTCGAACAGAGGTAATTCAGACACTGTGTAGCAGGTAGAGCACACTGTTTATGATCACAGATGCATACAGGATGGTAAGTGTGTTGATGTGAGTATAGAAATTCTCATTGATGGCTTTTATTTATTTTTTATTTTTGGGGGAAATTGGAAACAATGTGAACTATGAATGAGGAGGATGGGAGAAGTACTGGAAAACTGGAGGTGTGAAACAGTTTGAAGTTCATTAGAAAATTCAATAGGATTACTGGATAATACTAAGAGTGTGCTTGAGGTTTGTTGTGGTAAATTTAAAATGAGGCCACTTGGCATGGTCGTATGTTTTCTTTCCTTTTTTTTTTTTTTTTTTTTTTTTTTTTTAAGGATTTGTTTATATATTTTGAAAGTCAGTGTTACAGAGAGGGAGAGACAGAGAGAGAGATTTTCATCCACTGGTTTCACTCCCCTAGAGGGCACAACAGCCAGCATTGGGCCAGGCCAAAGCCAGAAGCCAAGAGCTTCATCCCACATGGGTGGCAGGGCCCAAGCACTTGGGCCGTGTTCTGCTGCTTTTCCTATGCCATTAGCAAGGAGCTAAATTGGATATGGAGCATCCGTCACACGAACCAGCACCCATATGGGATACCTACCATTGTCACATGGAGCAGCTTTACCTGCTGTGCCACAGTGCTGGACCCCATATATTTTCTTTAGCCACATTTGGCAGCTCAGATACACATGCAAGACCAGTCAACAGGTTGAATGGAAAGCCAGACGAGTGTTGCAGAGAAACAGAAAGATACAAGATAGTGATTAATAATAAGGAGCCCTGGAACTAAGAAGTGTAGAGGTTAATAGAAAGTAAAAAGATGGCTGGCACAGCAGGTTAAAGCCCCTGCCTGCAACCTAGGTATCCTGTGTGGGTGCAGGTTCGAGTCCCAGCAGCTCCACTTACAATCCAGCTCCCTGCTAATGCACCTGGGAAAGCAGTGGAGGATGTCCCAAGTCCTTGGGTCCATGCACCACATGGAAGACCTGGAAGAAGCTCCTGGCTCCTGGCTTTGGATCTGCTCAGCTCTGGCCGTTATGGCAATTTGGGGAATGAACCAATGGATGAAAGACCTCCCTCTCCCTCCCCCTCCCTCTCCCCCCTCCCCTCCCCCTCCCCATCTCCCTCTCCCTCTCCGCCTCTCTTTTAAATAAATACAATAAGTAATTTAAAAAAAAAAAAGGAAGTAAAAAGATGAAAAGTAAGGACTAGAGGTTTCAGTGACAAAACTATATTATTGGAATGAGAACAAAGCAGGATTGGGGCATGGAGGGTTGGAGAGTGAGTAGGAAATGGTGACCAGAGACTGGGATTATTAAATAGAGATTATCAGACATGGGCTTGGGGGAGGTATGACATAAAAGTAAATAGTTGGGGGGCTGGCACTGTGGTGCAGTGGATTAAAGCCCTGGCTTGAGGCACCGGCATCCCATATGGGTGCCAGTTCTGGTCCGGCTGCTCCTCTTCTGATCCAGCTCTCTGCTATGGCCTGGGAAAGCAGTGGAGGATGGCCCAAGTCCTTGGGCCCCTACACCCATGTCAGGAACCCGGAGGAAGCTCCTGGCTCCTGGCTTCGGACTGGCACAGCTCTGGCTGTTGCGGTCATCTGGGGAGTGAACCAGTGAATGGAAGACCTCTCTCTCTACCTTTCTTTGTAGCTTTTTAAAATAAATAAAAAAATAAATCTTGAAAAAAAGTAAATAGTAGCTAGGAGTATAGCATGAAATAATGTGTGTATTTCAGTCTCAATAGAGGGGAAGGGCAGAACAAAGATCTAAAGAATCAGAGGATTGATAAGTGGGTTACATGGATATTGAAGTGATCAAGAATGTCTTAAGCATAGTGACAAAATTCATAGAGAAGCTGCTAGATGACTAATAAGGAAGGGCGAAATTTCAGATGGTTTGTTCTTCAAAGACCTTGAGCCGCCTGAAGAGGGAGAAGCTGTTGTCTAGAATCAGTGAGGAACAAAACACCTCCTTCTCCCTGCAGGATTCCTCGGTGCATGGATGTTAAAGACCACCTGGACAGCATATTCCTGATGATACTTTAATTCATGCTACAAGAGGAAGGGAATGTTCAGAAAAGAAATTGTGAATACAGGGGATTTTTTTTTTTTTTTTTGACAGGCAGAGTGGACAGAGAGAGAGACAGAGAGAAAGGTCTTCCTATTGCCGTTGGTTCACCCTCCAATGGCCGCTGC